CAAGTGGTACATTTACTACAATCATGAGTATTGTGAACTGAACACTCCTCGCAGTAACCCCATCGTTTACAATCATCACAGTTCTTACTACAATCATGAATATTGTGAACTGAACACGCTTTGCAGTAGTAATTGATTTGACACCAAGAACATTTACCACAATCATGAGTAAAAAATGACATCTTTGAGTTGAATAGTGATGATTTATGTCCAAAACGAAGATTTATATGTGGTGGAGTGGAAGTCGTCGTTCACATGTGTTTGTCATTGATGCATGAAAAATGATACGACGTACGCCCACAAGATGCATGAAATGAAGAAGAGTAAAAATACCCAACCTCTATATATGGAAACTAAAGCTTTTACACTTTAGAATAAATACGTACTGTTCTATTTCGAGATCTTTTTAGGGATAAGCAGAAACTCCAAATTAATGAGTATAGTACATATGAACAAAACGTGTTATTGAATTTCTAATTGGTTCGCCGCAATAGTAACACATGAATACGTACACGCATAGTAACATTTGAATACGCGATACGTAAATTTTTTATTTTTTTATAATAAAGAAAATACATACCAAGCATGTCAAGAATACAGGGGAAAATGTGTTATTTGATCATGGATGAAAATGTATATAACTATAAAATAAAAAAATATCTTCTTTTTTTTATTATTTTAAAAAAAAATAGCAAATAATTAAAAAAATACATACATGATTCCAGCCAGTATTTCGAGTCGAGAGTTTGTTGCCAAACGTAGATTTGGTAATGCTTAAATATAAAACAAATAAATATATTAGTTTTTTTCAAAAATCTTAATTAAACATGCAACAATAATGAAAAAATATTTAACTTGTATTATCCATAATGTTGCAAGGTTATATGTATTAATCTGAAAATGAGACAGAAAAGTCTTTAAATAAAAACAAGTTTTATTTAAAAAATCTAACAAAAAATATCAAATTTTCTAAAAAATTAAATTAATAATAACTAATTCCTGTATTCCAATAATCGAATTTTTGTTTATTTGGATAAGGTGAAGGTGACTTGCTTGGGGATTTTTGGTTTGGATATTATTAAATTTTTGTTGGTTTGGGTAAGATGGCTTGCTTGAGGATTTTGCTGGTCTAGTGATTTGAGATTCAATTGATAATAGATAGTACTGTAATTATTAAAAATAAAAATATATCTTATTAATTAATTAATATTTTTGTTTTTCTTTTTCAAATAAAAAATTTTCCAAATAATATTCAAGGTATTATTATCCATGATCAAATAACACATTTTCCTCTGTATTTTTTGACATGCCTAATAATATATATAAATTAGAATAAAAAAATATATTTTATTAATATATATATATTTACTGGTACACACATAATATACAATATTTCTCTAGCACACATAATAATATATATTTTCTTAGAATAGAAAATGTGTATTATTATATATATGCTATGTGTATTATATGGATATCAGAAAATATAGATGGAAAATTATTATGAATTAGATATTGATATCAAATGTTAATGTCACTATGAAAATATTGATTGGATCGAATATTGATACTGGATACTAGAAACTAATTAATAATAATTAAGAGCATGTATAATCATGTTCTATATATATGATTATATTATCAATATTTTCTTTTTTTATTATATATATAGTTATACTTTTAACTTCTTTCTTTAATTATGTAATTATGCTTAACTTTTTTCTTTTGTCATTAATTTTTCTTTCATTATATAATCATGTTTCATTATATACAGTCATATTATTAATCTTTTTTTCTTATATTATATAATTATACTCAATTTCTTTCTTTGATTATACAACTATACTTTCAATTGCTTTTTTTTGTTACTAATCTTTCTTTCATTACATAATTATATTCTGTTATATATAATTGTCACTAATCTTTTCTTCTTTTATTATATAATTATGCTCAACTGCTTTCTTTCATTATATAATCATGTTCCATTATGTATGAAAATTTAGAGATAAAAAGAAAAGAAAGAGAGAGAAAAATTTTTATTTGAAGAAAAAATAAAGAAAAAATAAAAAATAAAAAATAAAAAAAATAAAAAAAAGAATAAGAATAAAGAAAAAATATGGAATATATAATAAATTTGAATAATTTATTATTCTAATTTAATCATGCTTTTTTATTAATATATTATAATATATAGAAGTTATCATTTATATTTGTATCAATTTATATAAATACTACATATATATAACTATAAATTTAAATATTAAATATATAGTTTTATATTCATAATACTATTTTAGTGATCTTTTAATTCAAAAAAATCAGTTTGAATCATGTTATAGATTCAATATATTCTTTTGTATCCTCTCAATTAAGTGCTCTATATTTATATTTTGTATATTCTCTTTTTTTGATTACAAATTTTTTTTTGATAATTTTTCTGATATTTTTTTTATTTGTATTATAATTTTCATTTTCAGCATGATTTTCTCTCTTTTTGTTACAGATCTCTTTCTTAAACATTTTATTTAGTATTATTTTCTCTTTTTTCTAATAGATCTTTCTTTATATTATTTTCTTAAATTAAATCACAATTATTTTCATTAAATATTTTTTTTGTCTTATATCTCTTTTTTCTCTTAAATAATTCTTAATTATATCTTGTAAATATTGCTTTTTATTTTCTTTTTAAAATCTATTATTAATTTTATAAATAAATAAAATCTAAAATCATTATTTATTCATTATTAAATAACACATTTTTCTCTGTATTTCTTAATATGTTTAATATTATAAAATAAAACTTAAAAATATATGTAATTAGTTATGCTTTTTATTATTTTTTAATATATATTTATTAGCATATACATAATGTATATACACATTTTTCCAGTACATACATGATGATATATATTCTTTGAGAATAGAGAATATATATCATCATATATGTACTACATGTATGTTATTATATAAATGCTAAAAATATAAATTAGGGGTTAATGCTGGATAATATAGATCGAATATTGATATCAGATGATGGAGAATATAATTATATATTTTGATGAGAGAGATTTTTTTATTCTTGCTTTTTTATAGATAAAATCTTAAACTCTTAAAAATATTATTAATAATTATTGCTTTTTCTAGACAAAAATCTTAAACTCTTAAAAATAATAATGATAATAGTGATTATACAAAAACAATTTTTGATTAATAATGTGATTTTATGTGAAACAATATCTTTTCTGATATAAAGGACCTAATTAATAATTGTTATAATAATTAATGTGGAGAAAATGGAGAGAAAAAATTTTATAAGCAATAATTCATTTCTAAGAATAGTTATATGCAAAGATTCAAGCTATCTTTTGCTTGGAGAAGGGTTGTACACAATTTTATTTCTCTTTACAAGTGACTTACTTGGAGAACAATTGTTTGTAATATGAATTCTGTTTTTATTAGTAATCTGTGGACCATTTTTTTATATTTTTTTTGTGTATTTATTTTATATACTTTTAAAGAAAAAGAAGGTATTATATTTTTATTAATAATAAAAATAAAGAGTTCATAACAGATGCTCTATAAAAGTAACTGTTACAAAATAAATCAAAAACTAATGGAATCATGCTAAAGAATGATAGAGAGATGCTGAAAATGATAAGAAGATGCTGAAAATGATGAGAAGATGCTAAAAATGATGAGATGCTAAAAAATAATGAGGAGATGCTGAAAATGATACAGAAATGCTGAATATTGAGATGATGATAAAAAACAATAAGGAAATGTTAAAATTGATGCAGAAATACTGAATGATAAGGAGACTCTGAAAAACAATGAAAAAATGCTGAATAAAAAAAAGACGTGGGGAATAACATAATTCTGTATCATATATTAAAAAGGGAGTTTGTTGTTTTTATTAGCATGTCATCGTGCTAAAAAATAACAAATCACATTTGTTGACATTTGTGAGAGAATCTGCTGCTGTTTTGCTGAATATTCTGCAGCAGTATTTGTTGATAATTAGCTGCTGAAGAGCTTACTGAATTGGAAAACTTGCGATAAATTCTACCAGCTTTGGGAATCAGTGACACTACACATACGCTGATCTGTTGTTATTGGCATCTGTGACTCAATTTTCGTTGATTACCCTCAAAGAACCATAATCAAGGAAGTTTGTTTGTCGGTGGTAATAGCAAGTATAATGTTACGTGTTTTATTTTATATACATGTAATTATAGTGGATACTCGATACAATAATGTGATCAGGGGAAGAGATTTGATCTTATGTCAACTTAAAGCACGTTATGTAGATTTCATAATTGGGAGAGCAAAAGTAACTCATGAATCTATGAATATGAATTTTATTTTTTTAAAACTAAACAAATGTCTTTTCCGTCAAGATTGCAATTCAAATTTGATTTGTCTGTGCACACTAAAAATATCAAAAGACTTGCAAAATGATGCACAAGCGAAATATTTTCCAGATAAAGCATCGTTTAATTAGAAATAAAGTACGCATAGAAATATTCCTTATGTATTGTCAAGTTTTTCTTAGTTTTACGAACTCGTATCTTTTTAGTTATGATGATCTTATATACATAACTTTGATGATGGAGCGAAACCAAATACTTCAGCAGTTTCTGCTGGTAAACAGCCAGCATCAACAGTAGGACCATTTGAATCAACAATAAATATAAGCATTGAGAAACAGTCTGGCTTTATTAAGCGAGGACGTGATCTGAAATTGTACGCGTGAATTGTGTATGTGCGCATTGATTATTGATTGCTGCTTTTTATTTAGTATGTAAATATTAATTTGGTTTTTCGTGTTTAGCTATAAGCATTCTATACGTGGCATGTGCGATTACTGCATGCGCTTAGAGGTAAATAGTAAATGTCTTTTTTTGAGTTATTATGTACTTGATAACATTAATTCTGTATTTACATTCAATTATTGATTTAGTCATACGATGCTAATTATTTAGCAGAAAATCGGATCAAACATGTCTTTTCATGCATATTTACGAAAAGTGCAAATTTATTCCACCTCTAGAGGAACCAGATTTCTGCACCTTGATCAGAAGGTATTTGTACAAAATGTCAACCAAGTGCAGTGACATTACAACAAGTAAGAGAACAATCAAGATTGACTGCCTTCCTCTTATCGTTATTGATTCGATTAATTGGTTTTATCGGTATATGGTTATTGAATTTTCGACGTCGAATCATTAATTGCTGGATATCAACAGCTTGGATATTTATATCGATGGCATGAACCTAACCCTGATGTTCCATTAGACATAAAAGCAGTTGTAGCGGTGATTTATGAGCCACCACAGGAACACCAAACGGATGGTTTAAGTCTCAACCTCCCATAGAATAAGAAAGAGTCAGTGGATTATTCAAAGTAAGATTTTTGAAATTACGAAGAGACCAATACATACTATGCGTGTACGCATGTGTGTAGAAATTCAATACATGTATCACGTAATGGTAATGCTCAACCATTTCTTTGTTCATATCGATATGTACTATCGCTATACTCATTAATTTGGCGTTTCTGCTTATCTAAAAAGATCTCGAAATAGAATAGTACGTACATATTTGTAAAAGCTTTAGTTTCCATATACGTATAGAGGGGTGGGTATTTTTACTCTTCTTCATTTCATGCATCTTGTGGGCGTATGTCGTGTCATTTTTCATGCATCAATCGTTTGACAAACACATGTGAACGACGACGACTTCCACTCCACCACCACATATAAATCTTCGTTTTGGACATAAATCACTGCCATCATCACTATTCAACTCAAAGATGGTTCATGATTG